ACAGACATCCAATATATTTTTCAATTATCCTTAAATGTCCTCTTCAGCATCCGCTTCCTGCCTCTTCGTGACGCTGGTGACATCTGTTCGACATGTTTACTCCGATTTTCGGCCATTCTGATTCGTCAAAATCGACTTTTTTTTCTTTTCCCCATTGTATGATGCCAGGAGCAAAGCTGAAAAAACTGGAGGTGACATATATATATATATATATATATATATATATATATATATATATATATATATATATATATATATATTGATAGGAGAGAAGTTGAGTTGAAGAAGAGGCAGAGAGAAGAGAGGAGCAAGAAGAAGGAAAGATGTTTGGGAAGGGTCCGAGGGAGGACGGAAAGAAGAAGAAGAAGAAGAAGAAGAAGAAGAAGAAGAAGAAGAAGAAGAAGAAGAAGAAGAAGAAGAAGAATTTATTTTAGGAGGTGAAGAAGAGATTTAATGAGAATGGAAAAGAAAGAAAAAAAAGGTCAAAAAAATAAGTATAGAAAAATAAAAGAAAGAAAGAAAAGAAAAAAAGAAAAGAAAGAAAAAAGAAAGAAAGAAAGAAAAAAGAAAGAAAAAAGAAGAAGAAAGAAGAAATAAAAAAAGAACGATAGAAAAAAAAAAAAAAGAAAGAAAAAAAATTTTTTATTGAAAAAAAAGAAAAAAAGAAAGAAAAACAAAAAGAAATGTTGAATTTTAGGAAACAGGAAGCAAGAAAATTGAACTCAGGAAAAAAATTGAGAAAAAAAAAATAAAACAAAATAAAAAGGGGAATATAAAAAATAAATTGATCAAAGAAAGCCAAAAAAAGAAAGAAAATTTAAAAGAAAAATTTGAAATGAATGAAAGAAAAACGATATTTAAATAAAACTAAAAAGAGAGAAATGACTTTCGAGATCAGAACTAACATCAGAAAAACGAAAGACAGATAAAAGAGAAAGGAAGAATGAAACAAAAAAAGAACAAGCATAAGAGAAAGAAAGATGAGATAAACAGAATAAGAATGAAAGAAAAGAAAAAACAAAACAAAACAAGGAAATTGTAAAGAACAAAGAAACAACAACACGAAGAACGAAAAACGTGAAAAAGAAAAGGAAAAAGAAAAAAAAAGGAAAATCAAATTTGCTTTTGGATAAACACAAATAAATATCAGAACGAATTAACGGAATCAACGAAAAATCGTTTTTATTACATATGAATGACTTGAGGATTTGTAAGGAAGATCAATCCCCTAATAACTAACGGCTTTCCAAACTCCATGCATTGGATAATTCACATTAAGTTGAACAGCAATCATTTATACTCTCAGATACACACGTTTAATACCATTTGTGAAATTATTTAGGAAAGGTCACTGTTAATAAATAATCCTGAATGTTCGTCACAAAACTTCAAATATTTCTTTTTCAGGGAGATACCAAATCAATGAAAACAAAAATTGTATTACCTAGACACGTTAATATTAGAAAGACATTATATATATATATATATATATATATATATATATATATATATATATATATATATATATATATTGTCATCCACTATCTGTCTTTATTTCTGAGATGGGGTATTAAATATTTTATTTAAATTTACATTATTCGGACTATTCTCCTGATCTTTGTTGCCATATTAATCACAACGTTTCGGCCGTTGTACGCTCCGGACTTCTACAGATGGTTGGAAGGTCGAACTGAACCCTTTATTTCCCTCACTGCGGTAGACTGTTCCACGTGCCATATTTAATGGATGTCCTCAAAGACACATGGCACAGTGGATAAAGGCGTTAGTTAAATCCAGCGGCAAGTCCCGAAGACTGAGTTCAATACCTGGTTAAGGCTGTTAAAACTTGTAAACGGGTGTTAACAGGAGATAACTGATAACTGACATCCCTTAAACATGGCACGTGGAACTAGAACAGTCTACCCCAGTGAGCGAAATAAAGGGTTCATTTCGAAATTCCGACCAAAAATATTTTAATCATAGTAATTGAAACCTTAAAACATGCCATGTAAGAAACAATGATGGAATTTTCATTTTTTAAAAATTACGTCCTGTAGATGGCGTCCTCCTGTACGAATGCATTCTTGAAATCTGCTGTTGAGATTCCTCATTGACTGCTGCAATATCTCAGCTGGGATACTGTGAATTTCATCTTGAATTCTAAATGGCGAAATGGTTACTTGCTCAAGGTCTCGCAGTGTTGCCATTTGCTCATTTCTGGCAATACGCACTTTGTATTCCGTTTTTGGGTCACCCTGTATATATATATATATATATATATATATATATATATATATATATATATATATAGTTCAGGTAACAAATCCGTTAGAATATAATCCAAGTGGATCCTAATAATATAAAATGTTAAAACTGATCCACAAAGAGTTCGGTTTATTTATTATTACAGAGCAAATAATTAATAAACAATAAAAACCAAAATCACCTCATATGGGGAATAGCTTATTTCGGCAGACGAAATATAAGCCGTCTGTTTTATCAATCCGGTGTGGACTGAGATCACGTCAGAAATAGTAATTTAACTGTGCAAAGTAAAAAAGAAAAAACATGGAAGAAAACCTGGTCGAAAAAAATAATACAGAATTTCAAATGCATGAAACTCCGAGTCGTGCTACCGGTAAGAAATATATATATATATATATATATATATATATATATATATATATATATATATATATATTTTTGTTCAAATTAATTAAAACAACAGCTTTAGTTTCCTTTCTTTCAGCATAAGGTCAGTTTTTAAACCCACTTGAAATCATCGATTTCTATTTTTCTCAGATTAGGTTATTTTCAGTGGTGTGTAGTAATATGAATCTATTTTCGGTGAGTATGATAAAATTGTCTTGACTGTCGATTAGTTGTCCTACAGGCACTGTCTATGATGGGCGTTACCCAAGGAAAAATATTTTTATAACGCTAATTCGTTTTGCTACAATTAATTTGCACAATGGTATATATATATATATATATATATATATATATATATATATATATATATATATATATATATATATATATATAATAAAAAATATTAAATATACTAATATTCCATGGTCATAATTTATGCCATCAGAATCTTAAATACGATCCAATTCATCAGACGTACAAATTCAAAAAGAAAACAGAAAAAAACTATATTTCTTCATATATATATATGTATATATATGTGTATATATATATATATTCTGTGTATGTTCAGTGTGTGGTAGTGATGTTTTTAGTTTCCGAATATGGTTAGCACATTGTGGCTTTGTTCATAGTTAATATTGTTAAGAGTTGGCTTTTTCTTTTTTATTATTAGAGCTTCCATTATTTTTAGTCTTTTTTTGCAAGTGGATGCAGTTAATATATTTGTGTTTTCTACTAGTATGTTCCTAATAGTGTCGAGTACATCTGAGTGTGTGTTTAAATGTGTTCTGATGGAACATACACAGAATGCACACACTCTACTAAGCTGATAATTGAATCATCCTTGATAATGGCTAAAGGTATAGCCGAAAGCGCTCGGAAATACAGAACATTCGGACAGTTCTTACACACTCTTTGTCCAGAAAAGAAAGCTCTTGTCAGAACACAAGAAAAATTAAATAAAAAGCTCAACCGTAGTACCTTATCTGTCGTTTTTAATGAAACATGCATAAAGGAAGGATTGCTGCCTAAATATACAAATATATATATATATATCATATTGGTGTCAGTATATTTTAATTTTGACGTCGGATGTATCACAATTTTAAGTCTGTTTCCTTTACTTTCCTGTTGTGTTCAGTTTTTTGTTTTTTCAATTTTGTAATTCTTTTTTAATCATCCTACCGTTGGAAAAATCTTTGGGAAGATATGTGTTGTTTCAGCCTAAATTTATTTTAAATAATTCCATCGATTTTATTCGTAAGAAATATGTTTCTTTATTCCTATAGACTCACCATTATACATAGACCTCAAACGATGAACAGCTAATGTATTGAAGGTATTGTTTTGTAAAACAAAAATCCTTTTATAGTTTTTACCAAAATTTTTAGATGTTTCACGATTATGCTTCAAGGGGCATTTTTCAATTTATTTGTTTAATTCTGATTCTGGTTTTATGTTTTTATTATTTGTTATGTGATGACTATACCCCATATAGTTTTTGAAGTAGCTGTTATAGATTTCATATTAATCTTGCATACATTTCACTTATTGTCGTTTTTTCAGGGTTACGTAATTTTCTTTTTCTTTTTGTAGATGGTGGATGCTTTTCTTTTCGTATATTGGCGGAGGTTTAAAGTATTTTCTATATATTTCTCTCCACTAGAGAGATTGCAAAAAATTCTATATGTAGCAATTCTAGAAATTCAACTTATTATAGGAATAAAGCTGGATGAGAATTCGACCGAATAGTAACCAACTTTTAAATACAATTGGGAAAAAAACAAAAAACAAAAATATAGCAAATTTTTATCACATCATTAGAATGAGATAAAATCTGGAACAAGGTTTTTTTTAAAATTCTTGGAATTTGTAGCCTCAAATATCTATCAGATCCCAGACTACTGCCAGTCACGATGAACGGATGATTCCTCGTTCCTTGAGAAGATATTGGGACTAAAAGTCACACTCGACCACAAGTGGAATTCCTATATACAATCCATCGTTAAAGATGCAGGTAAAATGATCGACTCACTGTACCGCTCCAGTAAGTACCTGACTCCTGATGCAGTGATATGAGGCAGATCAGGTTGAAAATGGAGTACTGCTGCCATATTTGGGCAGGAGCTGCTCAGACCTCACTTTCCGGTCCTGAGAATGCGCAAAAGCGTCTCCGAGGCCTTGTGGGATAGGATTTATTTTCCACCTTCCAACCTCTCTCTCACAGGCGGGATGTGGCGAATCTCTCATTGCTCTATCGCTACTACCATGGAAAGTGCTCGGATGAGCTGCAGTTCCACCAGGTCTGACTTTCGTGGCTAAGACCTGACATGCCACTTACATATTAGCATTCTATCTATCTATCTATCTATCTATCTATCTATCTCAGTCTCGTCATATCTATCTATCTATCTTTTATCTATCTATCTATCTATCTATCTATCTATCTATCTATCTCCGAACTACCACCAGTCCCCGTGCCTCGAGATGATACTCGGCCTCAAACTCATACCCGATCTCAAGTCAAATGCCTATATACAATCCATCGCTAAAGATGCAGGTAAAATGTACCGCTCCAGTAAGTACCTGACACCTCATTTTACCCTTACCTTTTTAAGAGCCAGATCAGGCAGAAAATGGAGTACTGTTTTCCATATTTAGGCAGGAGCTGCCCGGACCTTATTTTCCATCTTAAAATAGTTCAAAAGCGTCACCGAGTCCTTGTTGGAGAATTATTTTCAACCCTCGAACCTCTCTCTCACGGGCAGGTCTGTCACTGTTCTATCACAACTTCCATGAAAAGTTCTCGGACAAACTACATTCCTGGGTTCCTCAAGGTCTAACCTTCAAGACGAGGACCTACCATGTCACTTACATACTAGAAAGCCACCCCCATTCGCTCTCTATTCTAATTCTAGTCAAGTGACAGGGTAATCTGTGCTTGTAAACGGAGTATTTACTGTAGCCCATTCCAATTGACCAAGATAAAAACATCTACATGTTTACACTTCTAATCATGTTCAGATAAAAGTCATACCTAGTTTAGCATCAGGGTGTGTTTTTATTATTGTCGGTGACATACATTGATGTAGTGAACAGAAGTTTTTGAGTTATGACCTCAACAAAATTCCCCTCAACTCAAGAGATCAGGCCGAAAATGGAGTACTGTTGCATATTTAGGCGGGAGCTGTCCAGTCTTCACTTTCCAGGCTTGACAGATTTCAAAAGCGTCTCTGTTAATTTTGGATTGATGGTATTTATAGATAATATAAATCAGTTTTCTTAAGTAAGTGACCGTTTGAAATTGAGTTTGCATATTTAATTATCTTCGAGGTTGTTGGATTTAGTGTTTATTACACCTTTTTTTTTTTAATTTAATGCTATTTTTTTTTATTCATGATGTCTTGTCTGTTTTAACAGACGATTGAAAATGTGACACCGAAATACGAAGCTACATTGAAATAGTAAAAGATGCATTCGAAAAGCTAAGCAAAACATTAAAAAGCAGGAAAATTTAGTTTGAAACAAAGAAAAGTGTGTTTAGTACAAGATATATAAAACCTATATACCTCACAATATTTTTAGAAATAAAGAAGAGACTTGAATTGTGGTTTTCCAGGAAAATGTAAACAAAAAGGATGATTATAGAATCAGACAGAGACAGTCGGTTTGTTTTGTTTTATGACATATTAACATCTCAATGGGTTACTTAATGACGACAAGATATTTATTGCCGGTAATACTTTTTCAAAAATGTGTTGCTGGTAAAAATGTTTCCAAAAATGTATTGCTGGTATTAAAACCTATTTTTATACTTTCATAGTGTTTTGACCCCAGTTGAACTATTTGCCCATAGCTGGGAGCCAAACAGGTGCTCTCACCCTAGGTCAGGGTGGACCGGGGAACAGCAGCAATTAAGATGTGTTTCCAAGCTCCTCAAAACCTTCTGATCAAAGGTTTTGCTGTCGGATGTAGTTTATCGTCTTACCCAGGACGCCTATGATTGGGGTGGGGATCTTACCATTCTACAGAGGCGAGGTCAGAGTATTCTTCGGCCCCAACCGACAGGGCGGAGAGACAACTGGAACTTCTCGGATAAAGCACTTTTTTTTTGCAATTATCTTTTTCCTATCGTTGAAAAGTGTTTTTTTTTCTGTTTTTTTTTTTAATGGTTTTTCTGATCTTGATGAATGTAGAAATTATCCAAATATCTGTTGATTCCAAGCGCTTTCAGCTAATCCATTAGCTGTTTAATTGGAATTTCAGCTTAGGGAAGGGATCCGAGCATGCAGCACCTTTGGAAAGTGCTCGAAAACAATACCATGGGTTGTTCCAAGCCTAGTGAGTGAAATTGGGTAGACGGAACAGTTTGGGAGACGCCGACGGTGGTACTAGCACGAAATCACAAGTCATCGTGATCGAGGGTTTCACCGTACTGGCCTTGTTCAGACAATGCTCTCACTCTCTGTTTCTCTCTATCTCTCTTTCTCTTTCAGAAATTATTACTAAGCACCTCTCAGCATAGATGCAGTATAAACGACAGGTGGGATCTGTGAGAGTTGAGACTTATATATGTCGCCATATTTATTACAACGTTTCGGCCTTTCAGTATCTGTCTATATTTCTGAGATGAGGTATTATGTACACTATTTACATTATTCGGACTATTGTCCTAATCATTGTTGCCATATTTATTACAACGTTTCGCCCTTTCAGTATCTGTCTATATTTGAGGTATTATGTACACTATTTACATTATTCGGACTATTGTCCTAATCATTGTTGCCATATTTATTACAACGTTTCGGCCTTTCAGTATCTGTCTATATTTCTGAGATGAGGTATTATGTACATTATTTACATTATTCGGACTATTGTCCTCATATTTGTCGCTATATTTATTGGAATGCTTCGGCCCTTCAGTAGCTGCCTATATTTCTGAGATGAGGTATTATGTACACTATTTACATTATTCGGAGTATTGTCTTCATCTTTATCGCCATATTTATTACAATGTTTCGGCCTTCTTCAGGTGGTTGGAATGTCGAACTGAACCCTTTATTTCGCCCACAGTGGATATAGGCGTTAGTGACAGGACCCAAAGAGTGTGAGTTCAATACCTGGTTAAGGCGGTGGAGAATTTAAAGGGGGGAATTAACAGGAGATATCTGATAACTAATAATTGACACCCATTAAACATGGCACCTGGAACTGGAACAGTCTATTCCAGCGAGTGAAATAAAGGGTTCAGTTCGACATTCCAATGCAAATAGTGTACATAATACCTCATCTCAGAAATATAGACAGATACTGAAGGATAACGTAGGTCAGATGGCTAGCTGGATATAAAACTACCTTAAACAATCTTAATATTCGAATATTTATGTACTACTTTAACTGGCATCTTACGAAGACATCCTGGAAATTGGTTCTAACGAGCTGGGTCACCTGACCTAACTCGGTCAAACGAATATTTTGTATTGATTTGCCATCTATTTGACACGCGTACAAAGCCAAATTGACACTTCCACGCGAGTTCCGACTCAATTGTCAGAGAGACGATCCAACCAGGTCTAAGTGTTGCCAACTGAGTACAAGGGATTGTAGTGGTCATGTCACAGAGAATCGAGAATATCGCTGCAGGACGCGAAATTGCGGGAATAGGCGAAACAATTTATCAGTCGGCCCAAGACGACAACAAAACGACTACGATTACTGTTACCACCCTCAGGGGAACTGACCGATAGCGACATAATTCTTTAGACCAGTGACCGTAGATCGGAAGTCTCTTGCCAAACTGATTAACCGCGGAAGTGTCGATACCATTTAAGCAATATATAAACAGCGAGGATAATAAACCCATTTTCCATTGCTAGATGCCACCGTTGTCGTCTCCATGTTTATTTCGAAATCCCAGAAACCATTAATATTAATGTAGGGCTAGTGATGTCTCAGGAGTGTTTCGAATCTAAGTTTAGACAGACACAATATGGATAGAATGATTCCTTAACAGACGATCGGGTCGCACTAGCTGACGTGTTTCAAATGACTGAGTTGCCGCTTTAGTATATCGGATTTCTGATCGTTGTTTTATGCGAATCTACTGTTGGAAATTATTTATACTAGAAAAAATCGTGAAAATTTCATGTTATTCATATTTTAATAATCTGAAGAGTCTTAATTCTAAAGTTAATGAGAGAATAAGTTAATGGCGTATTCTATGACAATAAAATATTCGCTGAAATTCCCCTATCGAATCGTTAAATATTTGAGCTTAACAACTTTAACAAAATATTGCAATGACAATCATAAATATGAATGCTGGTCGTTATTTTAAGAAGTAAGGGGATACAAATGAAAAGGTTTGAAATTGACAAGTTTTTCTATTTCAATGAAAGAGCTGTTAAACATATCTTCACTTCTTTCATTTTTCTTTTTTTCTTTCTTCCTTTTTCTTTTTTCTTTATTTTCTTTCTTTCCTTCTTTTTCCTTTTTCTTTTTCTCTTATTGTTCTTTCTTTCTTTCTTTTTCATTCTTTCTTTCTTTTTCATTCTTTCTTTCTTTTATTTTCTCACGGAAACTAAGTAACGTCTCCGATATGTGTTTTGTTATGCCACCTGATCACAACGGAATAGTCCATTATGTATGAGGTATTGGCAGGAAACTTTAAATTATCATTCGTTCCTTCTTTCTTTCCCTCTTTCTTCCATTTTCTCAGTGAAAGTGAGTGGCATTTTTTTTGTTTTTTTGCCTTCTTTCCTTGCGACCGAAAATCGATCATTATTTATGAGGTATTGGTATTCGTAGGGCAAAACAGTCAAACGAACTAACAGCATTAAGGACAAGCACAATTAAGAATAGGTTTGTATTTTATTTTATGATTTTATTCTGTTTTATTTTTGCTAATCAGTAGAAAGCAGAGAAGAGTGAAAAGTGACCTCAAGTTACTAAATACAAGGAATAAAACGCCATGACAGTTCGATGGAAAACAACATTTTTATTGCCATTGATTTTCCAGGATACTAAGGGAAACTGCCATTGAATATACGTTAGAAGAGATTCAAGTATTTAATTCCAGCAAGACAAAAACCGCCTCATCTCTTTCGTTTTGTAGCCTTTAAAGGGAGACATTTTTTTTAACAATGATGCTCACCCTGTACAAGGCCCAAAAGCTATTCGTGTTACAGAGTGAAAGGTACAGTTTATGCTGATATGTGGGGAAGATGACGGTTAACCTTTAAACATGAACCGATTAGCATTCAAGTGGTCAGGGAAGCATCCTCTTGGGAGCCGGTTCCAAAAAGCAGCGATTTGTGTGAAGAAGATACTCGATTGGAACTTACATCCCACTCATGGAATATGAAGGGAATGAGCGTAGTATGAAGAGTCTTAGACCTGAAGGTTAGAACAGGTGAAAATAAGGGATGTAGTTTGTCTGAGCAGTTTCCATGGAAGTAACAATAGAGCAGTGAAAGGCTCGCAATGTTTAGTTTGTGAGAAAAGGTTTGCAAGATAGAATATAATTTATCACTCACAGGGAGGTGGAGAGATTTTTTGTAAGTCAGAGAAAGTGAAGCAGCTCCTGTCCATATGTGGCAACAAGCAAAACGTATACTACTGGTTCTAACGAGCTGGGTCACCTAGCCTAACTCGGTCAAACGAATATTTTGTATTGATTTGCCATCTATTTACAAAGCCAAATTGACACTTCCACGCGAGTTCCGACTCAATTGTCACAGAGACAAGACAACCAGGTTTAAGTGTTGCCAACTGAGTACAAGGGATTGGAGTGGTCATGTCACAGAGAATCGAGAATATCGCTGCAGGACGCGAAAAGGCGGGAATAGGCGAAACAATTTATCAGTCGACTCATGACGATGACAAAATGACGACGATTACTGTTACCACCCTCAGGGTAACTGACCGATAGTGACATAATTCTTTAGACCAGTGACCGTAGATCGGAAGTCTCTTGCCAAGTCGATACCATCGAGGGGAAAAAGAAAACATGCCTTCAAGGACACATGGCACAGTGGATAAAGGCGTTAGTTTGATCCAGTGACAATACCCGGTTAAGGCAGTGGAGAACTTGGAGAGGTGAATTAACGGGAGATATCTGATAATTGACATACATTAAAAATGGCACAGGGAAATAGAACAGTCTACCCCAGTGAGCGAAATAAAGGGTTTAGTTTGACATTCCAACCACCTGAAGAAGGCTGGAGCTTACAACGGCTTAAACGTTTCAATGAATATGGCGACAAGGATGAGGACAATAGTCGGAATAATGTAAATACTATACATAATACCTCATCTCAGAAATATAGACAGATACTGGAGGCTTATAAATCTTATGAAATAATTGTCTCTCATGAAGACCAACAAAGATGTTAGCCATAAGGGGTCCCAGTGGACTACCCATTGCAACTCCATCTATCTGTCGGTATATACAATTTTTAAAAGTAAAGTATCTGTCTATATTTCCGAAATGAGGTATTATGTACTCATCTTTGTCGCCATATTTATTACAACGTTTCGGCCGTTGTACGCTCCGGCCTTCTTCAGGTGGTTGGAAGGTCGAATTGAACACTTTAATTGTAAAGGATTGCAGAAGCATTCAGGTACTTACTTACCGACCATTTTTATAACATCGTTAGCGATGGGTCATATGTACGTGTTTTTTTTGTTTTTTTTTGTCTCAATAGGCGTCTAAGGTACAGGCCTTTCTGTGTGAATATCAGTTCATCGTCATTGTTGTTAGTTCTGGGTTCGATAGGCGATGATGGAATGTCACAAGTTTGATTAAAAAGATAAGATAAGGTATGTCTATAATTTCTTAATTATATATTTACAATTTTTGGATAAAGTGTTGACTTTTGTTCACATTAAGTCACGCTAGACCATGTCAAGCGTTCAGCTTTCCAAACAAAAGCAGGATGCAGACAAAGGAATTCTAACTACCACACAGACACTACATCAGTTTTTGGTAATGATTGTGAAAGTCGAACGGATTTGAACCAAAATAAAAAAAAATATGAACTTTGGACAGTTTAACCACAACAGGGGGCACAAGTTGATCCACAGTTTATTCACAGCTTGGAGCACTTTTATCGGTTCTTTTTAATCTTTTGTCTGAACTTCTATTATCACATAACGAAAGTAATGGAAACAAACAGAAACAATTGAATTGAAATCAGCGAGTTTATATCCAAAAAAAAGTAAATATTAAATTTAAAATTCCCAGCATTTCTTGTTCCTGCGCATGTGTAGTAGCACCAACATAAAAAAAAATTCGTCCGCTGAAGCCGTTTCCATAGTAACTTATAAAGACGCGTAAATTTCAAGTTTGGTTATTCCTAAATTGTCGCTTGAATATGAAACAGGGCTTGATACTTAAATTTCAATAAATATATTGAGGTTTTTGGCTTGTTTTTGAAACATGAGAACTCTTATGTAGCGAAGGAATCATATTTTTTTAAAATAATTATAAGATATATATATATATATATATATATATTGCAGGTTGTTTTTGAAACATGAGAACTCTTATGTAGCGAAGGAATCATATTTTTTAAAAATAATTATAATATATATATATATATATATATATATATATATATATATATATATATATATATGCAGGTACAGTGAAATAATGGATAGTGGCTTGGATTGAGAATCGGATAGCCGAGTTCGAATTCCAGTCGACACTATTACATTCATTTACGTGCTAATGCCCTAGGGAAAGGTGTGAATCCTCCTCTTCTTCCTCCAGCTATAGGTAAATAGCAGGACAGACTGGGTTTTATAGCCTTGGAAGGCAACTGGTCTAGGAGAAGGACAACTCTGAATTCAAAACCTGTGGAGGGTCGTTTGGGGAAATTGTGGCACATAGTGCACCAGGTCTCTGTATTCGGCCCTTCAAAAAGTGTGGATGGTCCTGCACGAAACCTTCAACACTATAATCAAATCTCATGTGCTGGTGTCAGGCTGTCGGTTTCCAAGGAACTGATCTGCTTGACCCTCATAAGTCGAATTCGACGGGAGAGTCGAGTATATATATATATATATATATATATATATATATATATATATATATATATATATATCGAAAGTCTGGAATTATTGCTAGTTAATGTAGTTTATCAAAAAGAAGTGAACATTTTAAGATTTTAATTGATTAATTAAAAACAAGCTTAAAATCATTCACATGTTTTGTTAAAATAAATTCTGGTTAAATGTAAATGTTTAACAAATATATTTTGATTAAAGTAATAGTATTTTATTCATTTGTAACCCTTTCTGTTCCGGTCTTTAGATTTTTGTAGTGATTTTATAACATGTTTATCTTATAAATTTTCTAAATAAATAATTATATATATATATATATATGTGTGTTTATATATATATATATATATTTTGCGCGTGTATGCGTGTGTGTGTGTAATAACCTATATATGCGTGTGTGTGCGCGCATGCGCGTGTGTGTACTTGAAATTTAAAATTTCAAAGCATCCGTTGTTCGTGCGCATGTGTAGTCGCATCGATATAACAAATTTAGTCGGCTGAAGTCCTGAAGGACGAAAGGCCTCGCATGAACATTTTTTTGTATGTACTTGTGTGTGTGTGTATGTGTGCCTGTGTATATAAATGTGTGCGTGCGTGAGTGTCACCTACATTAAAGGAAGTTTTATTAACCGTCAAAAACAATTCACACCCTATTTTCCTTTTTTATTTAATCTCCATTTTTTTTTCTTTTTTCCCCGGACGAGAGATCGTGTATTTGTGTTTGGTTTAAGAACTGTATAAAAGGTTGTTTTTTTTAATCGAGTCCCGTTCGTGAATTTCTTTCTTTATAAAGATACTATATCTTCAGGATTACGGATAAAACTGAATATTTTGTGAGAAAAAAATCAAACTGGCATCTATAATCAGAATCTTTGTTTCTAGCGATAAACTTCTTGGATATTGATAACGACTAACACAAAAGCCGAAAGCGCTCGCTCAAAAAGTCTGGGATAGTTCAGATTCACATTAATCACTGACATACTAATACAGAAAAGTTATATATAATTATTTTTTATGAAAATACCTTCTTTGTCAGTGGTCATTAATAAAACGTGTATTAGCAGGTATATAATCTTACACCAGAAAACTCACATAAAATGTCTATATAATTATAATTAAGATATTTTGATAACTATTAAATTTTTTGACGTTTTCTGTTGTTATTTCTCCTCATTTTATCATCTGGTAAATTGCCGAATTCAAATTAATCAATATATATATATTATATTCCCCATATATATATATATATATATATATATATATATATATATATATATATATATATATTTACAACGGTTTTCATTTGATATATGTTTTATTAAGAACGATATAGAAAATATTGGGAAAACAATTTTTTTAAACAATCTTTTGTTTGAAATTGGATAAAAAAAATGTATATTTCAAAATCCCCCAACCACAATCCATTTTACATTTATAATACCCTGATTCTTCTTCTTCTTCTTCTTTTCTTTCTAATCTTCTTCTTCTTTCTTCTTCTTCTTCTTCTTTTTCTTCTTCTT